TTGTTTTGTTTGTAATTTTAGCATTTTAATATCATTTTTTTAAAAAATAGTACATGTTTTGTGGATATCACTTCATGTTTTCTCTTAAATGAAAATTATAATATTGAACAATACAGATTATTATTATTTATGGCTAATTATATTAATAAAGATTGACTGTTTTTATCTTCCAAAATCCACAAAAGAGGTTGCCACCCAAGCTATTTAGGTTCATTTAAATGAATTTTAGCCTATAAATCTTTCATTTTAGGTGTCGAGATGTACCGACTTGCCATGTTCTTTTATGCAATTTCTGGACATCCATAGCTCAAACTTCGCATCTGTGTCAGTTTAGAATATGTGTGCCTTCATAAAGTGCTGAATCCCTCTCTTAGAATCATAACACAGGAGTGTACTGTTTTCACCTTCACAAGTTTTGACAGCAGTATCCCAATCTACTTTCCAGAAATTAAATGTGCATTTATTACAGTCTGAAAAGAAAATGAATGTATATAAATATCTAAACACTTGAGGAAACAAACACGCCTCTATAATAGGTTTTAAGTGTGCCACTACACGCAAATTATATTTTTTTAATAACATCAAAACTATGAAATAAATATTCTTCAAATGAAAACCAACTTGTTAAATTATGTTTTTATTGTCAAACTTCATGTTTTTTCTGAAATCATAATTTGATAGTTAAATATTTTTGCTTCCGTAAACACCAACATTGGCGTATTTTGGATATTAACATAAATTTATATCGAGTAAGAGTTGACGTAAGTTTGTTATTTTCTATCTCGTCTCTATACACAATATTTACTGAGACAAATGTTAGCTATTGTGTTTTACTCTACCAGGAACTATCCTTGGTTCTTGCTGTATGTTGTAGAACACCACCATTTTTGGTGTTAAAGTACACAAAATTTTTTTGCACTGGCTAGTTTCCCATTCCAAGCATAAAACACACATGACAAAAAAAAAGAGAAACATTTAGGATGAATTTCAAAAAAAAAATTTTTTTTTTTTTTAAACCTTATATGTTTTCCAATACTTTTATAAAAAAGGACTATTAGATTGAAAGGACTGCAGGAATATTTGATTCTATTATTTTATGAAGTCCTTTTATTACACTATAAAACATTTTGCTGTGTTGTTTCTGATGCCACTTGCCAATGCCAGCAAGCCTACTGGGTAAAACCATGTGAATGTAAGAGGGTGCATTTTTTTATATTTTGCAGTTGCGCCATCTATAGCCAAGAATACCACTTCGCACACGTCACAGCCTGTTTATAGGGTGTACCCATTCATTCATCCACAGATTGTAATTTTGATCTGAACCAAGGAACAACCGATCTCCAAATCACCCAGAGGTATTGATTTGTTATGGGAACATGGAGGACTTTGTGACCCGGCAGATTTAACGTGTACCAGTCACCATTTACTGCATGGGTAGTCTTTAGCCATCGGGGATCCAACTCAAGACCTCTTCGACATGGGCCCAATGCCCTACCAACCAGATTATATAGGCATAAAACATTTTTGTGTGTCTTAGCTCTAAAAATGTTGGCAATTTCTTTTCACTAAAGTGGTGTTGTGAAGCACCATACATAACTTTTGGATCTAAATGGTTCTCTACATTAAGAATGCTCTTTTAGACTACTTACAGTAAAGTAACCGCCACCATTTTTATTGCTTAATACTTATGCACTGAAATTTATTATTACAGTCAGTAAAGTTATTTTTACAATGCAATATAAAGCAGGAATCATTAATGTACAGTGCACAAAATTAAAAACAGACCACTCTGAATAACTTCTGATCAGATTTTAAAGTTATGGGACTTAACTTTAATATTTTGAGGGATTGACCTCAAACAAAATTTTCTGTCGGGAACAAAATTTATTCAATTTTTTTTTTAATTTTTACAATTTTCCAGCCAACTTAACTAACATCCTAGCTAATTACACTAGGTGAAACCTTTCAAGTTTGCCTAACGGCAAGGGAGTTTCGTTTCTCTAGTCAAACATGCCTGAGTTTAGGACAGATATACTTGTGATTTTTATTTTTAATGTATTCACTTCCCTCAACAACCCACCCCTGTGATTATTTCACAGGTACTTTTCTATTTAAAAACAAATACTATTCATTCTGTTCTTTTACATTCTATCTTATAGTACATATTAAATTTCAAGCAATAACGTTTACCTTCATATCATAAAATAATTTTGAGTGTGAAATAAAAAGAGATACTGGTTTTCGTTGACGATTTTGTTTTAACGGAAACACCATCCGCTTTTTTGTTTCATGACGATAAAAACTACGAAAATCATCCACAACGAGTCCGACGACAGCGAAATTCAATCTGTTTCTCTTTGGGTAAAGTTTTTGTCGAAACTTTGTATAAGAAAGCAAAACTCTTCTGTTTACTCACCACAAATTTCTGTCAGGGTACTTAGTGCAAATATTTTATACATTACCAAAAATACACAGTGCATGTGCTATTTTGGCTTTTAGTTTACCTTTTTTATTATTATTACAGCTTATTCAAAATGAAAACATCCGACTTACGTTACAATCAGTACCGTCTTTACGCATGGGCACACCCGGGCAGTGCCCAGGGGGCCCTTGAGAATCATACTTTTCATAAATTGCAAATTAAGAGCAAAAACATTGCATTATACATTTTTTATTATTAATATATTCCAGTTGTAAAAAGTGTGCATTTTTTCCCCCTGTAAATAGTGATTGATTATCTTGAAAACATCAATAATTTGAATAGTTTATCATCAGGAAAACTTAAAAAGTCAACCGAAATCTATTTTTCCACATTGAAATGTTCTTAGGTACTCACCTAACTTCTCTAAATATGCTTGACCACCACCAACTCCGTTTAGTATTTATAATTAGTTAAATAAAGTAATAATTGAAAGAGTTTAGAATTATAGAGCACTTTGAGACAGCAACTACAGTAGGGAACCGATTATCCGGAACGATCGGGACCATCGCTATTCCGGATAACTGATTTTTCCGGTTTTCTGAATCGCTACAAAAAGCCGTTTTTTTATCGTTAAACCCAACTAAAAAAAGAAATATATATTTGGAAATTATCTTAAAAAGAAGAAAAAACGATGAAGTAATACACTAATGATTATTTCTAAACTGATGGTAAGGTAAACATCCTTCAAAAAAGAAAGAAAAATACTAAAATCTTATGAAGAAAAAAACATCTTTTTAAAAAAAATCGCGGGAAAATTTATCGAATTTCGTTCCGGTTTTTTGGTTTTCCGGTTTTCTGATTTCCGGATAACGGGTTTTGTACTGTA